CGCAGCGGCCCAATGCGCGCAATCAGCGGTCTGCGCGCAGCCCAGTCCCTTCCCGATCACATAAACAGCACTTCAACGAAAATATACACGGCCACCTACTGCGCACAGGGAAAGTGATGAGGGGTGTGGGAGGTGGGGTGGGGGGTGCGTCGACTTTACACTGTTTTCAATTAAAGTGACAATGCTGAGTGAGCTGCAGACGACACCCAGGAGGCAAAAGAACGCAAAAACTATTTATATAGCAATTAAAATATATTTAATTCGATTAAATAGTTCAACTGTCATTAATAAATATGTGGTATTAAGACTCAGTTGCATTGATAAAACCAATTAGTTAATTTTTAATTTGAGTTCTGCGCAACGCAAACCAAGTGCCGGGCTCTGTCTCGGTTATCCACCATATTATGTAACTTAATCATTTATTCCCGCCAATCACGACCAGAAAATTATAAGAGATAAAAGACAAAACGGTAAATGCGGCAAACTTCAAATCATTTGCAAATGTAGAGTCTCTTTAACAGATCCTTTAAAATATCTGAGTCTTTTAATTACATTTAATTGCGTCACTAACCGTTTGGAGCTTTTGGAAAACTTGCTCAGTCTAGTAATTGAGTTGACATCACGCGCGTTTCCTCTGGAGGCTTTGGGGGCATTTGGGTGATAAACCTCCGAAACGCTGACCTCAGAAACAAAGCTTTCTCCCAAAACTTGACTCAAGTTCAGTTCGGATGGACTCGGGCCCAGTTGATGGATTTTTCTGGAGCGCTGTCCTCCAAACAAAGTCTGTGCGGCCCCTCGGTGACCCTCTGCCGCCCTCTTTCACCACCCAGGAGACAAACTGTTGAAACTATTATTCAGACGTGATGCTCTGTGGATGAAAAATTCAATTTATGCTTAACACTTAAAATGCGAAGGCGGGTTTCGATGAGCCGGTGGTTCAGTCTCTGTTGCTCCAAAAGCGTCCTGCTGACCACTGATACTATTGGACGTGTGATTCATGGGCTGCTGCAGGTGTACTTTCTGAGTTTATCTGAATAAATTCATTTAAAAAAGAAATATTTTTTTAAAAAAGCTAATGATGGCCAGGTAGGTTCAGATGGCTCTTAATGTTTCCATACATCCCAAAGGTCACATGCAGGGGCACCTAGACACACAAACGATACAAGTTTTATTCAGGTAGGTTGCACTTGCTTATTAGCTTGAAATTTAATCTGAAAATGACTTTTTTTTTGGTGCACTTTCAAACAACCACAGTCAGTAAGTTCATGTTTTCAAGCAACTTCTGTGTTTTAGTCCCTATGAAATGATTACAAATATTGTAAGTCTCCTAGCTTTTGAATAAAATAGGAGAAATCCATGTGTTTAATTTCATGAGTTTAATGTTTGATACTTGGGCCCCACAGTGACAAATTTATGGAGGTGGTCATTGTCCCCCTGGGTCCCTTGAACTCACCACTGATCTTGTATTTGTGTCTCGTTTTGTCATGAACAGGCGCTAGAAAAGGTTTTTTTTTTTTTTTTTTTTTTATTAAACACCATTATAACTGAAGTAATTCATAAGACAATAACGATTTTCCAATTATAAGGAGCAGTCATAAGACATATATACAAGTTAATGCAACATGCACTTTTGCGCTTGACTTCTAGACTGTGGTTAATGTTTCAGAGTGTTGTACCTGAACTGAAGTGACTGAACATTCCTGAGGGTGCAGCGCTGTCAAATATTTCATGTTGGGACGTCATGGAAAAGTGCAGGACTTTGTCTGTGACGGAGCAACAGGGAAGCTCTGATCTCGGCTCCCAAGCCTCTGCACAAAGCAATGAACTCTATCTTTCTTTACCACTTTCTCGTGGCAGCGTTTTCCTTTGTGGCTCAAACTGTTGAACGTGTTGGTAGAAGGTAGAGAGACATTGATGAATGATCTCTCCTGAACGAACAGAGAAAGGAAAAGGCCACTTTGATCATCATCATCCAACACGGATGGATACACATTTCTATGTTACAGAAACTGACAGAGCCGGCCTGATGTACAAGCAGACTGTGCGGCTGCTGAAGGCCACTGCTGGTTTCCAGGAGGAAACTTTTTCTATAAATTAATGAGCTTGTTTGTTTATGAAATATTTTGAAAGATAAGCCAAGGTGGCTGCATTTTGTTTATATTATCCTTTGTTTATTTTTTTATTATCCCTTGTATATTTTTATTATAATATTGTGTTACATTCACAGCATGTAACATAAACCATTTTCAAAGTTGCTGAAGTGACTGAAACTTAAACAGGCTCTGTAAAGCCTGAACCTATTCACTGTTATTCTAAAATCTGAATAAGCTTAATTTAACGTATATTTACATTATAAAATTCTCTTATAAGTTGGTACCGATTTTTTTAAATCAGAGTATACGAGATTTTTAATTTTTTATTTTTTACATTTGCTCGCTGCCAAATGCATCTGTGATAGTTCTGATTGATCTGCAAGCCAGAGAAACTTGTTACTGGATTTTGTTGTCTGCAGAAATGTGGAGAACATAACTGCCTTTAAATCTCTGAATCATGTTAGTCTGCAGCACTCATATTTAAATTCTTTTTTTTTTCCTGATCTTTTTAAAATCATACTATAATGATTTTCCTCTAAATTAACCATGTTGATGATTAGACTATAAGAAAATGACCACTAGTTTTTACATGTGTTTGACTGTCATTAGCTTAACTTATAACACAATCCAATCTAAATATGTTACCATACAAACAGTGTTGCTTAGTTTTGCTGTTTAATTAAAGAACAATGAGAAAGCAAAAGGCGGTCTTATATAGAACAATTTGGGAAATACTGAACATTAAAATGAAAACTTTATTCCAAATGACATTCATTTGAAAATGAGAAATGATTGTTATAAAGTCAGAAACAACCAGGACTTTGTGTGAATTGGACCCATTCATTCATGCTCTCTACTCGGTTGTAAAAAAAGCTCTGGGATGTAAAATTAAAAAATGACCAATCAAAGTTGCGCTGTGGGGTGGGCCCCCTCGTCTGAAATCCCGAATTAAGGCCTTGTACCTCCTTGAGCCGGCTCTGGAAACTGGCCTGAGACGCAAGAGCAAAAAAGTTTTTAAAAAAATCAAATAGGCCTAAATAAATAAATAAAAATCTAAATATGCCTTCTCCTTTTGGAGTAATATGACATGAGGCGACTGAGCGTGAGAGAGGGGAAAAGCCTTAATGGAATGAAGTCATCAGCGGTAATTAAATGCAGTGGGCAGAGGGGAGCACGGGAGCGCGCCTGCCTGTCCCTGGTGCGCGCTGGGTGGTCCGCTCGCTTCACCCTTGAATATGCGGCTCTTAGTGCAACGAGCGGCCGAGCAGAGTCGAATCAGTGACGCATTTGGGCATTTCTGTTCCACTTTACCTCCTCTATATGACTGAATCAAAGGACGACATCTTATTTCCAACATGTTTACATTTTTTATTGTGGAATATGTTTGTGAAGCAGCCGCACACGTTCTGTATTAACTGAGAGATCATTTAAAATCGTCATGTAAATCTGTTGCCTATTCACATGAAGACTCTCCATCCAGGTGTTCTCTGATTTTACGCAGAGGCCAGATGTTTACATTTATTTATATATGTATTTATATATATACTACCAAGTATGATTTTCACTCGGACTGAGAACCAATAAATAAGACAATGAAAAGGTTAACTTAACCCGCGGGGTTTGACGAAACTTAAGGCTGCAGCCATCTGAGATCTCCTGGGAACAATAAGGAACTTACTGTCAACAGTTTTAGGCTATATGGACTGATCTCACTCCCAGGATGAAACAGGCTAAAGCCACAGGTCAGTGCAAAAAAAAAAAAAAAAGAAAGAAAAAAAACATGCACATGCAAACTTCTGCGCAGCGTCCTCTGATTGGTTTTGTCGCTCCGTCATAATTTCTCGAGCTGCATGCATGTTTTAATCCCAACCTTAGTCTTTCCATTCAATCCCATCTCCCACACAGCAAGCGCAGAGTGTTTTTTCCCCTGACGCGCCGCATCGTTAAAGCGACCACCGATCTCCCTGCATGTCTGGTAAATCCTTACCTCGGATCCCGGATCTCTCCGTGATTTCTCTCCCCTGCAGGAGTCGATCTCAAGTCCTCCGTCCGAGTTTGTGCGCTCCCAGCTCGGCTGAGTCTCCACCTCACTCCTCCCGCGTCCCTGCGTAAATATTATGACTGCATTGCACAAACAATATACATTTGTAAAAGAAGAGAGTGTGGGGGGGGGAAAAAAGTCCAACGTGTAGCCTGCCGTAAGGACGACGCACATTTTTTTCTTGCCATATCTCATTTGTTTGTGTGGCATTAGCGGATCTAACGAGGCTTTTGCCTGATTTTCTTATTTAAAGAAGGTCCGGGGAAAATGTTTACATTCTGCTGTATAAACATCCTGCCCATGTCCCTGAATATCTTTCACAGAAATCCGGAGGCAGATTTTGAATGTGAGGAGCGCGTTGTCCAATCGATGGTTTTATGCCTTTTGTGTTTCTTTAAAAGGTATTTAATGTGAGTCACATCCTTCCTGCTGCAGCTTCAACGAGGCTCATTGACTCACTCGCGCATTAAAAAGGAGACATACTTTGAATACTTCAAATGAAAATGTTATTATTTTTGTTTAAATAAAAAAAACTAATACATATATTCATGCATGAAAACAAACAAAAACTCTTAATTGAAACACAGTGTGACACAAATCTGCAGCTCAGGACAAACGCATATAGTTATTTTTATGATCCATGGGTGTAATGAATAAATGAATCTGCTCGAGATAACATATGAAATCCATATCTGTTAGATATAAAATCATTTTACTAAAATAAATAAATAAATAAATAAAAAGTGAGCGCATGCACAGATGTGCATGTTTGCAGCCCACCACTGGAGTAGGAGGGGACTGGGCGGGCCCCCAGCAGTAGGATGACAAGGCTTACAGCTTCCAATGCGCCGATGGCAACAGATAAGTAAAAAGTGAGCTCCGCGGACGCACGACAACACACCAACTGAAGTGGAAAGCGGCTCCTGTTCTGCTCCGCGCTTCATTTCGGACGTCGCCTTTTTAAAAAAAAAAAAAAAAAAAGAAAGAAGAAGAAGGAGAAGAAGAAGGAAAGTGCTCTGGCTTCAGACTCCAAGCAGGACAGAATTAAAACCAACGAAGGAGAGTCTAAAAGACCATCGTCCGCTTTTGGGTTTGGGGTCCTTTCCCACCCCCTCCTCTTTATGCCAGGGAAGTGTTGTCAAACTTTCTAACCATAAGTGGAGAAAAAAAAATTCTTTGTCTTTGCCACTTCGAAGACTGAATCCAGGCAAACTAATGACGGCAGAGGTCCAGCAGCCCCCAGCGCAGCCTCCTGCCCAGAGCAGCCCGATGTCCGCGCCGGAGAAACCGCACGGACAGACGGTGGTGATGGAAACCGCGTCCTCCACCACGAAAACCAAAAAGACGAACGCAGGGATCCGGCGACCAGAGAAGCCCCCTTACTCGTACATAGCCTTGATAGTCATGGCCATCCAGAGCTCCCCGACCAAGCGGCTGACGCTCAGTGAGATCTACCAGTTCCTGCAGAGCCGGTTTCCGTTCTTCAGGGGCTCGTATCAGGGATGGAAGAACTCCGTGCGTCACAACTTGTCTCTGAACGAGTGCTTCATTAAACTGCCCAAGGGCCTGGGCCGACCGGGGAAGGGCCACTACTGGACTATCGACCCGGCCAGCGAATTCATGTTCGAGGAGGGCTCCTTCAGAAGGAGACCCAGAGGCTTCAGGCGCAAATGCCAGGCGCTGAAGCCCATGTACAGCATGATGAACGGCCTGGGATTCAACCACATTCCCGAGGCGTACAACTACCAGGGGAGCGGCGGGGGCCTGTCCTGTCCGCCCAACAGCCTGTCTCTGGAAAGCGGGATCGGGATGATGAATGGACACTTGGCAGGTAACATGGATGGGATGGGTCTGTCCGGCCACTCCATGTCTCACTTGTCGAGCAACAGTGGACATTCCTACATGGGAAGTTGCACGGCGTCCACTGGGAGCGATTACCCCCACCACGACAATTCCGCCTCCCCGCTGCTGACCGGCGGGGGAGTCATGGAGCCTCACCCCGTCTACTCGAGCTCGGCTTCGGCGTGGGCCTCGGCCCCGCCGGCGTCGCTCAACAACGGGGCGTCGTACATCAAGCAGCAGCCGCTGTCTCCGTGCAACCCGGGGGCGAACAGCCTGCAGCCGAGCTTGCCCACACACTCACTGGACCAGTCGTACCTCCACCAGAACGGACACAGCACCACAGATTTACAAGGTATACTTCCAGCTTACGATGTCACGAAACTGTTGAATATTCCGCGACGCTGTGGAAATTCACAAAGAAAACAAATATATATATATATAAAAAAAGACCAAACTCCAGAACGAGAAGCACAGAATTTAATTCCCACAAAAGAAGTAGATTTTGTTTTAATGTTTTTATAGGCTGCATGAAAAACGGACACATCGGTTTTTGTGCCAAATAAAAGCAGTGCGGGCATTTGCGCTGCAAACAACAGCTCAGCCTTAATTCTGTTGCTTTATTACGGAATGCCCTAAATTTAATGCCACCAAGGGAAATTACCACCTATTTTCTCCTTCTGAAATTAACGTGCAAGTATCAGTTTGAATAAAACTTGAATGAGAACGAGACGTTTACTTTATTTTATGGAAAGGATAAAGACAAGTAAAGCGTGGGGATGGCAGAGAAGCGTGCCAATCTCGGCGCTATAAAAACAAGCGCGTTGAGGTCCATCCTGCCTCGCCCCGGGGGCTCCGGGGGCCCCGAGGGCCCCCGTCCTCCGAGACTGGCGTGCAAAAGGGCCGCTGTCAATTAACCCTTCTTAGCCCGCCTCTGCTTTCGATTATCATGATTCTGCCTGTTTAACTTCGGCTTTGTGAGAAAAACACACACACATACACAAAATGATGTGTTCAACTTATAGTTAAAATTATGCAAACAAAAGTGTGATTTGGACAATTTAAAATTAAAACGGAAAGAATGCGTTTTTGTTTAACTGTTTGGAAGAGCCGGGGTTATATTTTCAGTTTACTTATTCTAGGCCAGTATACTTTTTTTTATTGCCCTTGCATTTACAAATAAATCTAAAAAAATGTAAATGCATTTATAGCATATTCAAAATTCAGTTTCTTGGAATTTATACATATGTATTTTTTTTTAAATTAATTTATTTGAATATTCTCCATCCTCTCTCCGCAGGTATTCCTCGGTACCACTCCCAGTCTCCCAGCATGTGCGACCGGAAGGAGTTCGTGTTCTCCTTCAACGCCATGACCTCCTCCGCCATGCATTCACCGGGAAACAGCTCCTACTACCACCACCAGCAGGTCTCCTACCAGGACATCAAGCCGTGCGTGATGTGAACCCCGCCGGGACACGCTGCACACCGCATGGACGGTGTGTGGGTGCGTGTGCGTGGGTGTGTGTGTGTTTGTGTGTGTGTGTGAGTCACTCGGACTGGAGCCATGCAGACAGCAGCACGGGAACAGAGAATTAGAACAATAAAACAACAACAAAATCACCACTGAGAGACTTTTGAGCTCCTTGCTCCCTGCAGACCGGACTAATTCCCTTTGTTGTTGGACACCAGACGACTGAAGCCACACAAAAATAAAATAATAATAATATATAATAAAACAAACAATTCCATACCTTCAAAGTGGCATAACAAAGAGAGAAAGAGAGAGAGAGAGAAAAAAAAACTTACTGTTTGGTACTTAGTCCTGCGGAGCGGATGACCTCTCACCTCTCACATGTTTAATCATTTTGTAAAAAAAAAAAAAAATATGCACACCTTCGTTTTTTTTATTTATTATTATTTTTTTTTAATTTCTAATTTTTATGTTGTTGACAAATTAGCTGGAACAAAATACCCGGCGTTGATTTCTGAATAAATAATTATGGACATTACATAGGCCTATATACTGTACGTCCATACTGTATACTGTGTAAAAAAAAAAACAAACAAAAAAAACAAAAAACAAAAAAAAAACCAACAAAAAAAAAAAAACATGGCACTTTTTGAATAGCCTATAAGCGCAACTTTTTATTTATTCTCTAGGCCTGTATTTTCAGTTTCAGGCGAACTGGCCAAGGAGTTCCGTGCTTTATTGGCAATATTTGTCAAGATGCGTGTTATTTGTTAAAAAAAAAATGAAAAGAAGGATATATTGTAAGCACTGTCTCGTTTGTCAAATTCATGTGGATTATTACTTCTATCACTTAGTGTAGATAGGTTACTATTAGGAAAAAACAGTGAGGGTTCGTTCATTCTGTGTGAGCTGATGTTCCATCATTTTTTTAATTAAAATAAAACCACCCGAATTCTGGGGCTGTTTGACCTTCTAAGTCCATAAAACGGGAGTTTATCTTGCATTTTAGACGAATGTTGTGAAGAAATATGTAAAGTAAAAAAACGGCAACCAGCGTGCGTTTCGCTCTACAATAATTCAGATCCCTTCTTCCTAAAATGAGAATATTTTATTTAAAGAAATTTTCAGGAGGGGGGAGGTAGCGGGGGGGGGGGGGGGGGGTCACTACGTTAATTCACTCAGATTGAAAAGTGACCGATTCCAAAGAAAAATTAATAAATCAAATAAACTTTGATTCACAAAGTCAGGCGGTTGCACTGGCTGGTGCTCAAAATGTAAATAAGAAACAACAGATATCTCACTCCAGTGTAAATTTAAGATACATTACGCAAAAATATCCATAATTTTAAAGTAAAATAACATAAAATTAGAAGAATAATCTCAATCTGCATCAAAAATGCAAATGAGTTGTTTTTGCTATAGCCGTACTCACTCAGGGCTACAGACACACACTAACATATATATATATATAATTGTGCAGTAAAAAAATACATAATAAAGAATAACCTAACATTAACTCATCATTACATGAAACAACACGACGCAATTAAAGTAAACGTAAATAATCAATATGTGTAGACCATTGTGTTCCACCAGCACATCGTAATAAACCCAAATCAAAACATAATAATGGTGAAAATTTATTAACAAGATTTTCTATGGGCATTATTTTTGGTTGCGGCTCTCGTATCTTTGGCTAGTAGTGTCATCCTTTGAGTTAACCCCAGGAAAGATGCTAAAACATATTTTGGCTCTAGAAGCTACAGTGTGAAGCCATGAGAAGTTCTGCTCCGATTCACAGATCTTATAATCCAGAACACACAGGATCGTTTTGCTAATCTTAGTCTGTAGGGTTTGTTGGTGCTGGAGTCCAGGCGTGCATCCTCACAGAGAGCAACACACTCCATTTAGTTGCTCTGATGTCTCACATGACCACTGACTGAACCCCAGTGAAATACCACGCTGCACGGCCTGAGCAGGGGCAACGGCACTTTAACTAACTGATGACATTTGCTGAGGTTCACGACTCTGTTGGGGCTCAGGAGAGAGAGAGAGGGACGGGCAGCTGTTCCCAGGCCAGGCCTGGATGACAGCTCCATAAAAAGCCCGGGCACCGCTCCGTGCAGACAGATGCACCGTGGGCTGGTGTCTCAGAGGGAGCCGGGCTTTAGAGCCAACAGAGCTGACACCGAAGCGCTCATTTGTCAGGTACCATTGAGATCTGTAAAAAAAAAAAAAAAAAAAAAAAAAAAACAGAGCTACAAGACATTACACACCAATCAGGAAAAGTGTATTGTATGATTGAGTTTCAGATGAATCTCCTGTGAGAAGCTCAGACAGACATTTTCAGAGCTGAGCTGCAGTGAGAACTTCAGAAAGTCAGTGACTCATAAAGAAAAAACTTTAGATTTTCTCCACTTTTAAAGTTTAACTGGTGTCTTATGTGATACACTATCACCCCGTTTTCAAAAAGCAAAAATGATTGCCTCAACGTCATGCATGAATGTAATCTCTACCGTTTAGAATAAGTTTTTAGTTTGAAGACTGAGCTCACAATTATCATCTCTCATTTTAAAAAAGGGCACAAGTTCATCCTTTTCAACATTCATCACAACCAAAACAAAGTTTCTGTTTAATTTTGGGAAAAATTTTAAAAAAGACAATACTGTCTAGTTATGACTGGGTGCTTTAATAGTGTTATCAAACAGATTAAACAGAGGATCGAATCAGGATGTCACAGTAAAAAAAAAAAAGTTCAATTGACTAAGAAGCAAGTCTTCCTTGCCGTAACAGCTTTACACAAAAATACAAACAATGATCTTAAACTCAAACTACAAAACCTGAATTTTGCAGACTGAATCACACGAATAACTCAAAAAATAATTATGGTTAAACTAGGGCTCTCGACACTTTCTAGATTTACATAAATCTTAGCTAAAATAGCACAAAAGGTTTGACTTTGAGTTTGTCCAGTGGGACATATGTGGTTTCAGTGGTTTCCAATGCCATCTCAAATACAAAATTTGACAAAACTTTTGTTTTTAGGAATTTGATCAAAGAAAATAACAGAAGAATGCTTAAAAAAAAAAAAGATAAATTAAAAGACATGGCAACTTTGTGCATGCAAGTTTTCTTGGAAACTGAAAGTTTTTGGAAATGTCACTGTAAGGCCTCATGCATCCATAATCACATAATATCATTTACAATTTCCAGATGGTGGAGTCGTTTGCGTCGCTTTTTTGTTGTTGTTTTGTTTTTTCCCCAAGCAAACTACCATGCCCTAAAAGCTTTTTTTTTTTATGGCTGGAAAAGCTTTGACTATGAAAAATAAATTCAGTGTGTCTTTAAATTGGAACAAAAAGCTAAAAATAAACCTTCAGGCAGGAAGATCACCTAAACACATGGAGTGAGAGTTGGGTGTAAACAGAGAAAGGCACATGTGGGAATCTTTAAGCTTATTTCAAATGTTACAACAAATACAATTCAGGAAATGTTTGATACTGACCCTACGTTTAATTTCCTCACACCTTCAAGTCTTGTTTTTCCTGAAAAACTACAACTAACATGAACAGATTGTAACAGATTCCATTGAAAATGATCAAAACAGATCAACACTTCTAAAGATATTAAACGTGCATTAATATGAAGATATTTTGTGGCGGTGCGCTGCCTGCCGCTGTTACTGATCAGCCTGCTTCGCGGTGTCACTTTTAGCATCTGGCGGGGACGCGTTTGACTTCGCAGCCGCGGATGGTTTTTGTCTCTGTCCGGACCTCTTGTGTCCCCGCTGGCTCTTGGCCAGCTCGGCCTGCAGGCTGTGACCGTTCAGGCTCAGGCCCTGCAGCGCCTCCAGGGCCTGGTCGGCCACCTGAGGGTCGCTGTAGTCCAGGAAGGCTCTGTGCTGTGCACCCTGCCAGGTGAGCCTCAGCGGGGCGGCGTTCCTCTCCCTGAGCGCGGTCTTCAGCTCGCTGACGCGCAGCCCGGCGGGGATTCCTCCCAGGTACACGGTGGTCACACTTTGAGGCAGCTTCCGCTGGGTCGTCGCTTCACCTCTGCCTTCCTCTGGGCCCTGCTCCCTCGCCACCCTCCTGCTCCTACCTTTCACCGCTTTGCCAGCCTCTCCCTCCTCATCTCCTCTGCCACTTCCCCTGCTGTCTTTCCTGGCTCTCACTGGCTGCTGTCTGGGTTTCTGATCTGCCTCTCCTTTTTTCTCCCATCTAGATTCCTGGCTGGTTTCTCCCTCAGTATCCTGTTGTGTATTCCGCCTTGGCCTCCGTCTAGGTTGTCTTTTCGGTTGATTAGTCTGCAGACCGGGCTCTGCTGCATGCGACGCTGTCCCCAGAGTCACGTCCTTCCCAGCCTGTTCCTCCAGAGCACGCAGCTTCTTCAGGATGGGAATTTTCTCCAACTTTTCTGCATCCAGCTAAAGACAAAAGAACCGGTTTTAGCCCATACTGCCCGTCGTTAATAAATATCTTTACAGCGGCAGGATATTTCACTTCCCACACAGTTAAAAATAACCCCTGCCGTCTTGATTTGTTGGGTCTTCAAGTGTCCTGGCAGCCTTTGATGCTGACCAGTCATGTAAAGGATACAAGCCTATTGTTTTTCACACTGGCCTGTTTGACCCGTCGTTCCTCCTGAACCCTGCAGAGCCAAGGTGGCTGGGCAGAGCCGCCTTTGATGACCAGACTTGGCCTTCCTGGCTGTGAGGTCAGTGGGCTTTGTTTACTTACATACGTGTCTGAGAGAATCCAGGGGTTACACACAACATGGCCACACGATGAGAATGATATGCTCATCGTGTCTGATGAGAAGAAATATTATCAACAAGAAATTCACACAGTCTCTGCCAGAGGAAATAAATAAGGAGGTTTCAAGCAACACCATATTATGAATATACAGGAAAGAAAGTAATAATTGGACATCATACAGAGAGGATACATTCATACAGCAGATGTATTCTGCATTGAGGGCTATATGAGTGAAACATTTGCATAAAGAAACACTTTTAAAACACTCGTGTCTCATGAGAACTTGAGTAAGTGGGGTTGGACCACTAGGGGGCAGTGTGACCTTGATAAAATAGGTCCTGAAGCTCAGTCTGGGGTAAAGCCTTTAGGGTGAAGAACATTTACAAAACCTGCCTGATAAAAACATGGAGGCAGACGACTTCCAATATAAGACAAGAACATCACAAAAAGCATCTGCAAGAGTAATAAACAAGCAAGTTCACCGTTTCAACTGAAAAAATAAATATATTAAAAATTGTACTTCTTTATATAAAAGATATTAAAAATATATATTATAAATAGTCAATATGTTCATTGGGCATGAACATATTGAGAATCCAGGGGTTACACTGAATTAGGTACTTCTAAACTCTAGTTTAGAAGTACCTAAACTGCAGTATCACTGTGATAAAATAGTTAATAGGAAGTGAAAATACTGACACATTTTACTAAAGACATTTCATCTCAGGATTTCCAGGTATAATGATGCAAAAAAAAAAAAAGAAGAAGAAGAAGAAGAAACAAATAGGAATGATGCAGTGCATTAATTCATGCTATTAATTTCTGTGCAACTTCTTTTCTTTTTTATAAATATATGTCACGGTTTTTAACAAAACCATGACAAAGCAAGAAATGTTTCAATGCAGAGGAGCAGCTGACTGGGTTCATGAAAACCAAGCAAATGCTTTGCTCCAAGATGAGTAAAAAATGAAATATTGTTTCATGGTTTGAGACAAAGCCAGTGGTGAAGAGGATTACGTTTATGGAAGTTTTCTATTCATACGTAATGATAATGTCGGTTTCCTGGAAAATAAAATTTATTTGTTTGGGTCATTGCGAAAGAAACAGCTGAAATACTGGAAAGTCAGTGTTGTGTGCTACATACAGGCAAGGCTGTGAGTAGATACGGTCAAAACAAGCTATACACAGGTTTTGGTCGCATCTAAAGTATAGAAAAGGTGGCAAAAGTCAAAATGAATTCCTCAATACATTCACACACAAAAAAAATTAAATTGACTTTAGAGATGAATCAATTAATCTGCAAGATATGTTTATGACCAATTTTCCCTTTACCGTCTCGTCGATGATCAACAAGCCAAGTCTATGAACAAATGCTTGAACACATGAAAGAGGAGAATATTATGTTTTTTTTTGTTTTTTCATTTTCTTTCCAACTCTAAAACTTTTCTAGATGTTGATAGTTCTTGATAAATAAAAACAAAACATTTCATTCAAATTTGGAAATTGCAGTTCCAACCTCAAAGGAAACTGAAAATTGAAAAGCATGACTGCTGCATCTCAGGTATATTTTTTTGTTTCACTTCAAAAATGTTAAATACTATGTATTGGTACATAGTAGAAAATATCACATGATCCAGATCTTATAAATGCAAATGGTCATCAGAGAACAACGTCTGACATAACAGAGAAAGAGGGTTTGAGATTTTATTGGTATAATAACTTTTAAACAAGAGTATATTGTCAGTTTTTACAGAAAAAAAATTACAACATAAAACAACATTTAATTTATTGTATTTAAAGCACAACAGCAACAACTGTTCCTACTGCTGCAATAGAATCTATTAAATATTATAGCTGCAGTATTTGTGCAAAGAAAAACAACCTTTGAACTCCATGTGTAAAGTTAATTTAAATCATAATGCCGAAAGAATAACCAAAATGTAATCTACACAAGACAGATAAATAGCCTTAGCTTTTACCTTAGTCCAGATGATTCCCTGTGGTTTGGGCAGCTTGCATTCAGTCTTAATGACTCTGGTTGGTGTGAGGATGTAATCAACTGTCAGGTCATGACTTCCTATAAGCGCCTCTGGAATGTCTACCACCTAAAACACAAATGCAGCAATTTAATCGTTTCATTGAATGGCAAAACTACAATAAAAGCGTTGCAATTTTCCAGAAAAATCAGACAAATACTAACCTGGCAGTCATGGACAACAGTGACAACCACAGTGGAATCATTCACGGCTCCCATTGAAGCCATCATGGCCCACTCCAGATCAGCATAACCCTCTCCCTTTCCAATCCGACAACCTGCAGAAGATGCATGCTCAGGCACTTTTTCAAATATTTTTTTTTGTATTATATAACAGACAGAATTAAGCTAATAATAATTAAAAAGACAATGTTTATCAACAGTGTTACTTTATTTGGTATGAATAAAATAAAAAAAAATATATATATATATATATATATATATATACACACACACACACATACACACACACACACACACATAATGCAGAACAAACCTTTCTCAGAAACTGCCACTGAGCCAACCACCACCAAATCAACCTTCACTTTTGCATCCAGGCCAACAGGAACACTGAAGTCCTTCACACCCTGCAGGAGATTTAAAAGTCACAAAAACTTAGTTAGAAAACCTCTTAATTTCTCTGGCTCTTATGAATATTGTTTCAGGTTGAAGTTGCAAACCTGAGATGAGGCACAAACACGCAGCTGTTCTTTGTTGGCACCCTGCGGCGGGGTGATCTTATTGAAGAGGCCAGAGCGAAGACGAGGAGTTGGAACCAACAAAGTCTTCTGTGCCTGTAAATTATGCCAAACAATAGACGACTAAAGACTGGGAATTAGACTAACTTTAATTAGATAATTATATAACTAGCATATATCAGAGAACTGAAGAGAGAGGATGAAAGTTGCAGTAAGATTCGAGATGAAACGACGTTCACTGTGGCTTCAATGTTACTAATTATATAAAGGGAAAAAATACACTAAATAGTTTGTTTGCCATGTGCTGTTTTATAGATTTATATCTCCAGATTAATCTGACCAACTAGTTTTTTTCATAAACATGCAAAGAATTTTAATGTTTTTTTTTTTTAAAAAGTCCTTTTTGGTGCTTTTCTTCCAACAGCTGCGTGCTACCTGCAGCACCGCGAACCGAGCACCCTCCAGAGGTTTGTCAGGATCCACCTTCACCTCAGCCGTCTGGGCAAAAGTCTGCAACTCTGCCACTTTGCTGCAGGCTCCGAAAGCCCCCTAGAGAGGAAAGAATAGCAATTCATACAAGTTTTTCTTTTTTCAATTTTTGTCAACTTACTTCCAGCGTGACAAAGCGAGCCTGCTGCTGAGGTTTGTCTGGGTTTACTTTCACTGTCTGGCTTGACTTAAATGCCTGAAGCTCTGCAAGCTTGTTGCAAGCTTGATTGGCTGCCTGATCAATAAACACACAATAAGAAAATAAACCAGAAGAGTAAATACATAACAGGACTATGCAATTACTATTTTAAAGGCAATGTAGAAAATACATTTGTGTTTACACCTGATTTAATTAAAAAAATTTTCACTTGGGTATCAATCAGTTTAATGAACACTATTACAGAACTGAAAGGTAGTACTATTTGTCATGTTAACAAGATAATCTTGTCTTAATTGTTTCCTGATTTGTCGCAACTGTAGCTAAAAAGAGGGAGCTTTGTAGCAGGTTTCTAAATCAATTAATGTGTCGCCAAAATTTAATTAAGCTTAGAGGGCATGCTTAATTTGCAAATATATAACTTGCAGATACATCATAGCTGCAGTACCTTGCCATCGCATCCATTTTGTTCTCTCACATTAAAAGTAGAGAACACAGATTCTTCACTAAAGTTACCCAACAAACCTCTGAAGCCTTTGCAGAGCATCTGTATTTACACTGCGGTTAATTTGCACAAGGGGTGGGCTACATTTGGTAATTAGGTGAACTTTGAAAGCAAGTGGCTGCACTAGATTTAATTTAGGTATATTAGAGGAGGCACACAAATTTAAATTAAATTTTAAGTTTTTAGAACATCATGTAAGATTTTCCTTCCACTTCTCAATGATTTACTCTTTTAAGCGGAGTCTACCACACAAAAATCTAAGAAAATACTGTAGCAAGGCTTGTGCATTACCAGTCTCTTCCATGCACATGGTGTCGAATATGCCACTCAGCAGAAAACCGACCATGTGACGCAAAACTGAAAAAAGCACTTTAGGAATTAAGCACGTCAGATTGCATGGACGATCATCTTTCTCTCTAGAAGAACTCATACTTTTCCATCTGTGAGACATCTCCCCTAAGAAAACTGAGAAAAGCAGTTGTCCCATGCTATTTTTAGGGTCTCTAAAAAATAATGGCCCCAGAGACCCGAAAAAGACACCACAAGCAGCACCCATGGTGGAACAACTATCTGCATTCACAAACAATAATTTAGAAACGCGGAGGTTTCCCTGCAGTCGGAACTTGCCTTAAAGTTCGGGATCCTGTTGTGGACGGGCCTGGGAAAGTTGGCCAAGTTCTGCTCCTCTATGTAGTCCCAAACCCTCTGGCGGATGTCCCACTTCGACGCGCCTGGACGATAGAAGAGGGGAATGAGGTCCAAGCAGACGAAGCTACATCACCGATGGCAGCGGTGCGGACAGAACCGCAGCTGCGTTTACAAGCAGGAGCAAAGCGAGGAGGAGCATCGTCCTTACCTGGGTTTATTTTAATGACGGGCTCCATGATGTCGCTGCTGTTAAAAACGAGCTGCTTCTTCAACACTGGCTTGCACTGGAAAATCTTCCACGTGAGCACTAACATGCAGAAACAGCTGCTTGTCAATGTTTATCACTGCTACGGAAGCTGGCGAAGGACAGTTTTACGGAACGCGCGAACTACGGGAACGCAAGTTTTTCCGTAAGCGTGGGGAATGTGTTTGACGTTTCGCTCTTATAAAGGAGTTATGTCCGGTTGATGTGCAGACAAAACATTCTTTTTTATCCCTGAATTATTTAGAGGTCAGAGCAAAGCGATCTAACAAACAGGAACATTTTCATTTAAATTTGATCAGGCTTGAACTTTAGTTTGAAACAATAATAATAATAAAGAAAAACGCAAATAAAGGGTGAAGAAAAAAACAAAAGTCTGGCTCATTGGAAGAAAATTATAAATTAGCATTGTATGTCTGTTTTATACTTGAGATAAAATCTAAATGTTCACTTTTTAGTTTTACAAAAAATTTTTTTTTTACACAAAATATCTGTTTTTCTGATTTCTCTGTTTAGAACCAAACAGCTCTCTGAAACGCTTTTTTAAATCAACAATTGTGTTCTGACAACGTGACATTGTCTCATTTTTCCAGTAGAGGGCGATCTGCACCAGCTTATTTTACTGGGAAGAGAGAGGCTCCATTTCCTTCTTATCTAAAGGTATGGCAATCTCTTTTTTTCCACTATCAAACTGTCTTTGTTGCAGTGAACCACCACGCCTTGATTTTCAGTATTTCACACTAACTGACCCAACTGGGTTTGTCAACTACACTTATGGGTTTGTGTCCCATTCACACACTTGTCCTCCCCAGTATTCCTCCCACCAGCTCTCCATCTCCAGTGGTCCACTGCCCTCCCTGACTCCCCCACTCTCTCTTGCAGTCTGGGCAGCTGGCCAGCCCAGCCCTCCCCGTTTTTCTCTTTCTCTCTCCTCTTTGCTCTGGATTTCGCTCTGTTTTCTGCACACACTGCTGCGTTTACCAAAGCAAGTGGCTGATAAATTTGCTGTGATGTCGCCGTTGCCAGACCTCCCTGTCTGCTCTGTAGTCTTCACGTGGCTCTGATGGCAGAGCGGGACAGGTGGACTGAGCTGGAGGAGGAACTCCACATCTCCTGTTTGGGACAATTTGCACAGCTCTAGAGAGAGGGGGGGTAAAAAGAGAAAAAGGGTGGAACAGAGCCAGTTCAGAGCTTAGGTCTCGCTGTGTCCACCCACCTCCACCACCCCCTCTTTACTCTCTCCTATGCACACTCACATACATTCCCCTTCCCCATTTGTGTCCTCTCCGATGCTGGTGTGGTGAGCAGCACAACACTCTCGGCTGAGCTGCATGGAGGCACAGGGAGGGGCAGGGAGCCCAGGTAAGAGCCATTTTCCTGTCCTTTCTTTTTAATGCCACAGCTGGAAACAGGGCTGAAGCAGAATCCAGTCCTGCGTCAGGAGGCTTGTGCTAAAAATGATGCCTTTTTGTTCCCTTTTATCAAACATACTGTGTGACTATCTCTGCTTTTGGTCTCCGATCTTAAGCAACTCTTGGAGAGTTCATTAACAATACATGTGGTTAAATATAGCACCAAAGCAAACTACTTATCATTGTTCTTTTACAAGGGATGTAGTAAAGCAGGGTTGACCCCCCTCTCCCCTCCCATTCACACAGTTTAATCTGCTGTTCCTTTTAAATCAGCTCACAGGAGGTCAACCGTGCAAAGGCTGGACTGCTGAAATACAAATTGTGGAACAATAGTATGGCCTTTGTGTAAAAGCCACCCAGAAAAGCCCGCGCTACGGTGGCACTGAGGACGGCTTTATTACGGCTGCTGGACCGAATCATAATTGAAAGTGATGACATTACAGCTGCATTTTGTGTTTAGCACTGGTATGCTAAAGATAACATAGGAGCCCTCAGCGACACGCCCATTAAGCTGTGATGAATAAAAGGGGGATGTTCAGTTTATTGAATTTCATTTTGGTGGGGGGATAAGACGTGAATACAAATTGTTTTTGACAGCTGAACATTATTGCTCTATAAGTCATTCAGGATTACCTAAAATTAATTGCACATATTCTTCTGTTCTGATAGATAAACTAAAATCATGAAAACACCCTGTGCTTTGCAGTTCTCTTACGAACCTCTGCACAAGTTTAATAATCAAAGAAAAATTCAGTTAAACGTGAGTGGCTGCAGCCGCTTTCTGCTGATGCAATTGGTAAGTGTTGTTTGTACACCATTTCAAATGGAGCATTATCCATTCAGATCCAGCTGCTGAGAGGAGTCAGTGCTGCAAATTAATAATTGTCCAATAATGAGGTCCATAAGCCACCAGCTAAATTACAGAGCTAATCTCATTGATTAACTGTTTCATTATTGAAACAGTTCTAAATAGCAACAAAAGCAAAAGAAAAGAAATGTGTCTGAAAAGCAAATCAGGACTGAAATAAATAATTTATAACAGCCCCAATTCATAACATGACTTCCTGCATGACTTCATTTCAAGCACTTAAATACACACTTTGAAAACTAACACTTTCTCTACTCTTGAATTTTAGCATCTCTGTTTTCCCCAGTTATCCCAGTCATGCAGTACCAGTACAAAAGTCTTAGACATTGTTGAGATGTAATTCATAATTATGGGACCTATGACGGTTCCTTGTGGAATTCCTATTTCAATTTTGGAATATTTAATGTGCTCAATTAGAAAACACAGCTTCCCAAAATTTGGATGTCATTTAAACCATGACAGCGGCTTTTTGAACAGATTGTATCTCAAGCTATTTGAGATTAAGTTACTGTGATATTAAGATATTGTTTTAAATGCTTCCTCATAGTATGCTCTAGTATTTATTTTACCAAGTAGTTGTTGTTTGCATGCTAAAGCAAAATGTGTCCTTAAAGGGTAAAATAAAAGTCACATTTCATGCAAGTTTAGTGTTTATCAGCTACCAGGTAATTTCAGGTCATTTATATTTAATTATTGCTCAGTTGTGTTGTCATTGAGTGCTGTGGAGGTAAACTCGGATCGCTTGCCTTCTATGCCATCTAATTATTGGAGGAAAACTTGAAATTATTTTTGAAACTCTTCCTGACTGTAAACCAACTCAGATTGACAGGCGATGTTGACTGAAAATATAAAATCACCTACAGCATAAAGTTTTGCAAACAGAATACAGAAGAAACATTGATGACATCCTGAGTGGTGTATTCATTTGTCCTGCAGTAATTGATTATTTCAAGATCAAATTCAATCGGACTCCAGATAATAACCTCACTCTAGAGTCTAGACCATTGTCATACTCTTATCTATCTGTCTTCCTTCACATGTCCTGGGTTGGCTTCTGCAGAGACAGTTGCAGCAGACAAGTGCTGCAACTGCATATATGACAGCCAGCTCTGTTTTTATGTGTAAGTCAGCCGTACAATTGACCCGAGCTTCTTCAGCAGGTGGTTGATTGATCAGGCCAGCTGGGTAAATTTCGTCTCCTCACATGTTGATACTGGGATGTCTGGAAAGCCTCTTTTTGTCTGTTGCCATTTTAATATTCTGACTGAAGTCCAGAATCATTCTTCGCCAAAAACCACAGATGCAAAAAAAAAAAAAACAAGAAAGAACTTAAACATGACATGCATTCTGAGCATTCGACATAGATAACTGTAAACATCTTGCATTTTAAAACTATTTTTACATTCAAGTTCAGCTTTTATGGCTATATGGCTGAACAGAGACACTGCTGTAGGAACTGAAACCCATCCTGCTGTCCAAATGTTGAGTAAACATTTCATTACGACTACAGAGGTTAAACTGAGATCTTTCAATGAGCAGCTCCTCACAGAGGGAAATAAATCAATACCCAACGATTGCCATTGCTTCTCAAAGGCATATCACTGTATGTCCATCTTCGCCCCTCGCTCTACAGCATTCAGCCGTTTTTGTTCCAGATATGTAACAATCACTGAGCATATATTGCACGGAGAAATGGTGGTCGCCATCTGCTGAAACCCATCTGCTGCACTCCCACACTGCACTGCAATAGTTCTTCAGGTCTGATCGTTTCTCCTAAAAAGCGGAGGATTTTTAATATCATTGCGTAGTTTGTCGTTGCTCGACCCACCATCAACACTCTTGTGTTTCGCTGAAATGTTCAGCACTTTTCATACACCTGTGCTTTTCTTTGCCCAGACTTTGTTTTCAGCTGTGTCTATGAGGTCTTAACCCTGATCAAGCAGAACCTCGGTGGAGCATTGACTCTCAAATGTGCTATTAGAAATTCACTCTGTTCAGTGACTTTAGAAGTGAAGAGGATGCTGGTTTTCTAGTCAACTTAAAACACAAACACATCGGCTGAAAGAACGTGACTGCAAGGTGATGAATGTCACATCTGAAAATGAAACATGACATAACATGAAAGCCTAAAAGTCATGTGATGCTCCATTTGCCTCTCGAAGAATGTTTTCCTCAACTTCCTCATTTTCTTAGGTTGATTCCGATCCAGACGGTTTGATCTAAAATTTAAGTGAGTGTTGTTTGCTGAGATCAGATTAACACCAGGACATTATGACTCGCATAGTTTTTTCATTTTTCAGTGATCTCGCAAGGTTTGTTGACTGACGGACCGTAAAAAATAAACAAACAAAACCTCTATTAGAATAAAAGAGCATCTTCTATTTCTACACCAATTCAGCAGACCATAATTAACGTGGACAATAACAGAGAAGGTGTTGAGAAGCTATAGTGTTGAAAGGGAAGTGATCACACTTTGCATCTACGCTTGTCTGTTCATTTCTATTCAGTACAGCACCAATGCACATTCATCTCTGCTGTTAAATGCTCCTATAGATCACAGTGCTTGTGTGATTTGGGTTCTTGTTGAAACACTTAGTTTTATCATCGATCCTTCTGTCTTTCCAAGAACATTTCCATCACAAGACTTTTTCATTCACCAAGGCTTTAGGAGCCATTAAAACAATTATGTTTCTTTCCTGTAAAACAGTTTTTTTTTTTTCTAAAAGGCTTAGAGATGAGAATGTTGTCCTGGTTATGTCTAGGATATGTTTTCCATTTTTTCTATGATTACAATCTCTACTACGATGATTAAATTGTGTTTAATTGAGGCGTAAAATGGGAAGTTTAACATTTTTTTCAACCCAGGAATCAGCACATTGACAGCAATGGCTGCAGGGACACAAAAAAAAAACATTTTCTTCATCGATTGTTTTGATCTTTGATCATGAGAACAAAGGAGGGAAACAGAGAAATGAAGTCTCATTTTGAGTATTCAGTTTCAAAGCTCAACACTGAGTGGCTCAGTGTGTGTCTTCACCTCTTTGTTGTACTTCATGCATCGTGTGTCTGTGCACTGCTGTGTCAGATAGAGCTGCCATTTCACCACACAACACTAAGAAATGTTGCTTTTTTATGACGTTGCTTACCGACAAGCCTAAAACTTTGTGGACTTTGGACAAAAGTGGAAAGGCAAACATTCATCAGCAGGAACATGATCACTGGGTTTCTTTAAATAAAATTAAAAACAAAAGTTTGCATTGGAAAAAGCATTTAAAGGTTCTAGCAAAAAAAGATGCTCACATAGTTTTCAAACATCTTAACACTTAAAATATAAGTTAACATGAACTGTGGATAAAAACCTGCAATTTTGATTCATAAACTTGACTAGAGGTTGTAAGTATGAAAAATCAATCACGTAAGGGAATGTAGCAAAAACGATTGATTAACACCGAGTTTTTCCAGTACAGAATATGCCAAACAGAGAATCTACACAAACTTGTAAAGCGTAATAAAAAGTTAGAAAAGTTTTCTAAGTCTTGATAAATGTGGAAAACTAAAACAGAGTATGAAACTTTTTTTATACCCAGCTTTCTATGATCATCTGAATGTATTCGTCTGTCTGGGCCCTCTGTTTTTTTCCTCCACCCTACCTTTCCTGCCTTATTTTAAGTCAGACATCTCATTGCCATCTTCTTAGGAGCTTTTATTCCTTTGCTATCATTCAGTCCTTCTCTCTGGAGACAGTGAAGATGTCTGTGTCAAGCTGACACTCTGTTCTCAGAGTCAGATTTCCACATTCTTGTAACACTTTTGTTCCTGATTTTTAAGTGGCGATCAAACATATAGAAAAAAATCTAATTTCCTAAAATGTTTTTTTTTTTTTTTTAATGACAAAAATCCTTGGATCAATAACTTTTTTACCTCCACTCTCTCCCTTTCTGTTCCTGGGATCATGTGACGACAGAGCCCAACAAAGACACCCAGAAGCTGCTGAAGCCATCCAGCTCAGGGGATTTATCCAAGGAGCTGTTCCAGCACCCGTCAGGGGAGGCAGAGGGCAGCCTGTCGGGCCACACTGCCAGCCTGCTGCACATCAGCGAGAAGCGACGTAAGTGTCAAAAAAAAAATAAAAATGGGTAAAGACAAGGAGATATGAGGCGATGCAAACATTTGAAAATATTGCTTCACTAAAAAGGAACCATTTAGCTGCCAAAAAAAGAAAAGAAAGAAAGGTGCTTTTATTGTTAATGAAGATAAAAAACTATGTTGGGTTAGATCACATCTAACATGCGCTAATTCTAAATATTTAACCCTTCTTAACCGTCTCTGTCTCCTTTAAGTATTCTGCTGCTCCAGACTGCTGTGACACAGTTCCCTCTGAAAGGACTCATTGTGTCACACAGAGGCTCTTGTGCATGTGCCACCAAACCTCACGGCTGCTGAAGCACTGCAACTGAAAATACAGAAGCGACATAAATGAAAACAAGGCCACTTTTATCTGCTTCACTGACTAAAAATGTCTCTGGGATTGAAAGTGACACATTAACCAGCCTTTGGTTCCTGGCAGGTCGGATAATATGCTGAAACAGGAGAGGGAAATCAGTGAGAAGACGATGGATGCTTCAGAAAAAAAACTACCAGAATCTTGGTTTAAAGATATTAATGATGCTATCTTCAATAACATAAATTATTTTCACAAGATCCAACTAAAACTTTAAATGAAGCAAAAGATGATCGACATGTTTCATGTTGAGGTTATTTTCTGATTAATATAGATAGAACTCCTGTACAAAACAGAAGACATGATAAGATTTCCTGTTTCTAAAAAAGGTCAAATGTAATGGTTCCTGAAACTGTCGAAGTTTTCAAGACAAAGACATTGAAGTCCAAGAAGAAACAAAATTTGTTTTATTTACATTTTTTGAGCAGAGACAATTAAATAGTATAATGTACATTCAAATATATATATATATATATATATATATATATAAACCCTGCTTCTAAACCCTGCTTTCTTATTTTTTTATAGACTCAACCCATGTCTATTAGTTGTCCTGCCCTTTTTATTGAATTGTAAAGTCAAATCCATCATTTTGCATGCAGAGAGAGATTTATTTACATGTGCTTTAGGCAAAAAAAAATCCTTCCAGTTTTTTCGGCTTCAGCTAAGGCGTGTCTCAGCAGGATTTAGTTGTCCTCCCTAATTATGTCTCAGAGGCTCTCTGATCGTCTTTTGAGATGAGACAGTTGTTTCAGCGCCTGCCTGGGAGTGAAATCACACTGATCAATAATTTAAGAAGCGAGAGGGCATGGAGAATGCAAAAAAAAAAACACACACGAGGGAAAAGAACTCAAAAACGTCTTAAAAGGAAGCGAAGCTGATTAGGAATTGTGTTGCAGTAATTAGGAACATTTTTACCATGTTGTGTGTTACGCTTATGTCTTTTTTCATCCTCTGTTACGGTTTTACATTTATTATCTCTCCTGTAGCTTCAACTCTTCATCATTCTTCCTCTCCCGGTTTTCTTTTCAACTCCTCCCCCACAATTCTCTTCATGTTTCGTTGCCTCTAGTTTCCACTTTCCACCAAAAAGAGATGCTCATAAAAGTAACTGCTAATCAGCTTCTTTCAGTGAACTAAATGAAAATGTATTCCTTGAAATGCTCTGACATAATTGTAAATGATCAAATCTGTCTGTTATCTATAGTCTCTCATTTTTACAGCCTCCTTGTTTCAGTCCCACATGTCTCCCGCCACACCCTGTGTTTAACGTTCTTAATACATTTGACAAATTACTCATTGCTACTATTTCAGCATGATGGATACTCTTCTGTAAATCAATATTGGGTCCGTTTGGTGTAGAATGGAGGAAATGAGGTACAGCAGACAAAGAAACCAGCAGGAGATTTGGCTCTGCCTCTTCAACATGAAGCAGCCTTGAAAGCTGCATGCAGATGGGATAATAGCAGTTTTCAGCCTGCCATTCTCCTTTTGTTCTCCTCTCAACGTCTGACCCAAGAGCTTTGATTTAGACTTTACAGGGTAAACTGTTGTCAATTAATTTATGAGGAAATCACACGTTCATCTTCTTCTGTTTCATATCTAAATTTAAGCTCAAAAAATCAATATGTTATTAAAATGCCATGTTCTTGAGATGTAAAATCATGACACAATAAAAAATAATTTTGAAAGTGGATTCTTGTTAAGTTTGAAAACATGTAATAAAACAAAAGGCGCAATAACCTGAGTGCATAAGAACATTTTAAGTCGGTTTCAACAGTCAGGTTCTTGAGTTAATGTCTGCCATTAGTCAGAAAAACTAATTAAATTTAGTAAAGTTCAACTTTCTAGTCAGATTCTCCTGACATTCTTCTACTAAAGCCATCGTTTGAAGAGACGTCATAAACTGGGGAAAAATGATATTATTGTACAAAGGTATTAGTCTGGAGAGAGTCAAGAGCAGTTTATATAAATACTACAAGAACAACTGTCAATAACAGGAGATAGCTTGGAGTCACAGAAACATTGGAGGTGCTAGACATTCTTCAAAAAGTCCTACACATAAAAGATGGAAACTGATCACAGCGGCTGCCAAGAGGCTGATAGTAACAGTGAAAGTCCTGCGGGAATTTGTGCCAAGCATTGGTACACGTGACAGCAAGCTCCCAGCTCCCTAATGTGGAATGGAAGACTGTTCTTCCAAAGAAAACAGCCACATGAATTCCTGCTTCAAATCTTTTAAAGTTGAACTCACAGTGAAATATGGTGGTGGCTTTATTAGTTTTTAATTTTAGGTTAATTTTGCAAAGTAGAGAAATGAAAGAAAGAATCGTTCAACTGCTCCGATCCTTTGGTGTTCGGTTTTTGGTTTTCTTTAATTATTGTGCTTTGATTATTTCCTTTAAAGAGGCAGCATCAAGTATTTTAAAGGAACATAGCACCACTCTATATTATATTTATGTAACTAAGTTACATTCTGTTGTTGTGCCACCAGGTGTTTGCTAATTGTTGCTGGCTAGTCTGAAGGAGTTGAGTGAGGGAGGTGAAGTGAGGGAGGCATCGTCGAGGAGAAATAGCTGCGCCTTGAAGGTGGTGCTAGGTCAAATCAGCTGTTTTGGACAGCTGAATAGTCGTCTCAGGCGTTTTGTCCTTGGATAAGACCTCGCCTGCTGTGGTGGTCAGATTGTATGGCAGCCTTGCGTCTGTCAGTCTGCCCAGGGCAGCTGTGGCTACAGTCTATCTCATCACCAATCGGCATGTGTGTGAATGTGTGAATTACTGGGTGTAGTGTGAAGCGCCGTGGGAGTCCTCTGGACTAGGTAAAGCGCTTTGTAGCTGTTTGTGCATTGGCTCTGTCAAACGAAACCTTACAAAAGTAAACTGTTGTCTGACTCACTCAGTCAGATTATTGTAGCTTTTTTGATGTTTATATCTCTTCCTGCCATAAATTTGTTTCTCGTCGAATTTTGTAAGACATATGTGAAGGTAGTCAACATTTATAAAGTGTATAATCATTATATCAAAATCTGCTTTTGTATTGCAGAGTGCACACTTTTTGAGCTTCTCACTTTAACGACGGGGAGACTAGCAAATGCTATCAGACTCCTCCTGTCCTGCATATATGAATTCCTTGCGCTTCCAATTAAATTGTACCCTTGCCTCGGTGCATTACCAATTCAGCTCCCCTGGATGCCTGGTTGCAATGCTGAGTCACACTCTTTAATGCATGCTACATGTAAATATGACCCTGCTGCGAGCAGCAGCAGAGCGTTTGACCTGCTGAAGAACAAGCGTTGGTAATAAAATGAACAGGTGCAGCGTAGGGGAGAAAAATGATATAGTGGGGTGGTAAAGAAGTGGCTATTTTCATCTCCTTCCAGCCTACAGTCACACACACAGGCGTCGGGCTTAAACAAACACATTCAGTGAACAGCAGTGAGCACTGACGAAACTGGAAATGTTTAAAAAAGCCACAGGAAAAAAACATAATCCTCGTCCAATAATCTGTAAGAGAAATAATAATGTGCACAACTGACTAGAAGCACTCTGTTTTTGTCACTGTTGTTCACAGAACCTCTGAGCAGTGTGTCATCTCTGGAGGTCCACTTTGACCTGTTGGACCTGACGGAGCTGACAGACATGTCTGACCAGGAACTGGCCGAAGTCTTCGCTGATTCTGATGAAGAAAACCACAGAGAGTCCCCAGCAGGTAGGTCCTGTGCTACAGTAAACGCAAAGGAAGGAAGTAAATGAAAGAGATTTACAATTATTGCTTAAGTATCAGTTCTAGCTCTGAAAAGACAAGAAACACAACAGTTAAATCGTTCTCCTCCATCCAAGAACAAAAAGAGCTCTATCAGACATAACTCGGCTTGGCACTGAAATCAACGGACGACAAAAAAAATCTACAGTGACAAGAGAAATGTAAAGAATCACTAACGTTGAATGAGGAATGTGGATTAATGTGTCTGAGCAATCTCACAGTAGAACTGAGCCATCCATCTGTAGATGAGTCTGTTTCAGCGAGTTACAGAGTTTCAAATGATCTTTTTTTTTTTAGTTAAAAATATGAAGAGAGATAATGTCCTCTCTTCATTAGGTTTTAAAATAACATCTCAAACCTTTGAACATCTCATTGAACATCTGAAAACTGGAAGACGTAACAAACCTAACAATAAATAGACACACAGTGAAACTGACAGGCTGGGCAAAGGGAGGGTTCATCACAGATGCAGCCAGGATACCCAGGGGAACTCTGAAGGAGAGGTTTATGTCTCAGGTGGGAAAATCACTTCACAGGACAACAATTAACATAGCCTATGTGGAAGAGAGGCAACGAGAAAGATTAAAGAAAAAGGGGACAACTCAAAAATAAGGAGAGTTAAAAACTAGTACTTCAACCTCAAAGTGAATCGTGGTGGTGCCGAACCTCTTTCTGAAATGGTTCAAGAAAGAGACTGGACTGGGCATATGTCTTTATGGCACACCTGCAGTCAGGGTGATGAGGAAAGGATGTGGGCAACACAAACAAAAGCATAAAATGCATGTGCAGAAAAGTTCAGACTGAACTCTTGGACTTGGCTCTGAAATGTGGAAGCAGTGTTTGCTCAGCTCCAGCAAAGTGGCGAATCAAGTAGATTTATGTAATCAGTCTCATGACTGCTGTCTCAATTTCACCTAAGAGCTAAAAATAGTTTTTTTTCCCATTTTCTCCTTGAACAATGCAAACACCTTCATCTTCAAGAAATCCACCTTCTTCCTGCTCTCTTTTCTGTTCATTACTAAAGCTTAAAAAAACTAAAGAAAAAAAACTTTTTTATATTTTAGTCTCATTGTACAATGTGCTGCTGTTTGCAGCACAAAGACACACACACACACGCACACACACACCCCCCCCCCCACACACACACACACACACACACACACACACACACACACACACACACACACACACACACATGCAGCAGTTTTTAAGTTTGTAAAAAAAAAAGGTGTAGAGTACATTACTGACAGATGTTTTGAGATTTGGTTGTCAGTCTATTAAACGAGTTAAAAAGCCAGTCAGACTAGAAAACAACAGACGAGATGTGAACAAAACACTAACACATGTTATGGGATTTACACTTTTTATAGAGCAGCGTCATTCATTTGGAGAGCTTCTTGTGAAATCAAAGTAACAGCTGACATCACTTACTTTCTTCTCCATTTGCTTTGAATTTTAGTTCGTACTTATAAAAGTTCAGTTCGTTCCAAGAAGATGACCAAACATTTTGGACTGGACATATTGTAGGGAGTTGCTATAGAGTTATTGTACCTCTCTGTTTTTGCACCAGATGAATTGTTTAGTGAGACTTTACAGCGTTTCAGACAAGATAAACAATCAAAAAATAAATATCACGTCAAAATCTCCAGTTTTAACAGATAGTTTGTTTTTAGATAAGCAATTCCATCAGTTTTTTAATACAAAACCAGATGCTGTTTTCCACTCATGTGATTCACTATTAAGATTATAAGATCAATCCAAATCCCAGAAATATAAAAAAAACAACCTAACTGAGTTGAAACCAGATATTTACTGCTGAAATACACACCACCTTTTCTGTTCTCCCTGTTGAACCTTAACTTGGACAAAATGTTTTTCTGTTCTAATAAATCCTGGTTTGTAAAAGGTTTCTCTCAAGAGTTTAGTATTTGTGTCTGATGAAAAACCAGGAACAAGTTATCTCAACTAGATAAACATTTATTAACAGATGAATGTGACACTTTTAGTCAAGTGGAAATTGAATCCAAAGATGAACCAAACTGTTGGAAGTCTACGTCTCTGAAAAATAGCTGACTTAATTTGATTTTCCAAAGTTACCATAAAAGGAAGTAGTGTTTGAGGTATTACCTTGAAATACATCCTCAACAGTTGAGTCAGGTGGTGTGAAATAAGTTTACACATAGCATCATCACCAGAGTTTTTGCAGCTTTTGGTGAAGGCATTGTAATCTTACATTTTATAATTGTCTGACCTCAAAGAAAGTATTAAAAGTTGTCTAAAAGAAGCTTTCCTCTTTATTTTGGCATTTAGAAGACAGAATTCATTTTGTTGATCCTAATAGGCCTAAAATAGGAAATGTTTGCTATGACTTGACGTCAGACAGTAAGAGAAAGGTTTTGCATCTTTTAAAGCAGAAAGAATATGTGAAACTAAACAGGATCAGATTTTCAGGCAACCATTCACAGAACATGCAGTATTTTCACAGAGCTACACAGAGATTTAAAAGCAAGACGCGGCGATATGCATGATTAATTCTGTCTGACAGCTGAAATACACGAGTGAATGAAATATCACTTTTACATTGGATTATACTTTTTGTGAATTCTGAGGTTTTCACTCTAAGTTGGATCACACAGCCTTAAGCTTTGGTTGCGAGAGAAAATCGCTCAATGGTAAAATAGTGAGAACGTATCAGGGTTGAGACAATGGTTAAAGCTGGGAGAGAAGATGAAGATGGGTGAGTGAGTTCAAGCTAAATGCAGGCTGTTAAATAATTGATTTTCCCCTTCTGGAAACAAAGCCTGTTTCTTCTCAAGCCATTTAAGCACAACCAGAATGCAAGGAATTCCTTTTTGCACTTTGTCTTCCTCGTCTCAAATCTTGTGCCGTCTGATTTTATTTTTACCTTCCTTTAGGCAGGCAGTAGTCTAAATTTCTATTTGGATTTTGTAAGTTTGGACATGTAGCAAAGCATGTTCAGTCTCGAAAGCTCAATAATAGAGCAATTAAAGGCTTTTTATTTAAGAGAACTTGAACAGAAGAATGATGAGGATTTAGTTGGTTTGATCTTTGTTTTTTCCTCAAATCAGATTCACAAAACGTACAATTTAGACACACACAGACAACCCACCATGGGCAGAGCTTTGTCACTTCAGCTGCAGGACGAATGTATGGATTTCAGAAATTAAACACAGAAGCACTGGTCCAGAGAAGCATAGAGCACACAGAGGTAAGGGCTTCTTATTGGAGAGAAACAGAATGAAACAGAGGAGCGCTGAGCTGGTAGTATTATCTGTGACACAATAAACAGAAAGAGGAACATAACGACCAAAACATCTGCCTCTCATTCTACTCTTTAAAATTTAGGCGCTACTTCTTTTGGAAACATATGAAACAATCATCTGATCTCACAATACAACAATTTTGGTCGGGAACCAATGAAGAGAAGCCAAAATTGGAAAAGCATGAGCTCCTCTTTTAGTTTTGATTAGCATTTTGCATCGTCTGTCCCGTCGTCGACATCACACTTGTCTTTATGCAGTTGCTTAAAATGCAAACAGAAAAGTTAAGTTTGGTCCCACAGAGTGCACATTTAACAGCTGCGTTCTCTCTTCAGCCGTTCACCTCTGTTCCTCCTTTTGGAGCATGAGTCTGTCTATAAAAGCACCATTGAATGTAAAAAGGTCAGGTTCCGGCTCAAACTGGCTGCCTTTAGCACTTATCCAGGCCTTTAATTACTTTCAGATCATTATCAGCAACTGCTTGCCCTGGTTCACAAACTCTGGTTGAGCTGTGCAAGAAAAAAAGAAAACAAAATGTTTTTTGCAGAGTTTGGGAAGTGCTGCTATGGATTTTTAGACATAATAACTGACAGTTTACAGTGATGTAGGCTTTATTACAATGTCTTCAAATGAACAACAAGACATATTGAGCTACCATATTTTGCCTATCTGTAAGCTATACCTTACAAATTAGAGAAAAACTGCAGACATCTTGTGATTCAGTAACACAAAGTGAATCAGAAACTCACCGACTGAAGCAGAGAAATCTAGATTTCTAGCACTGTTCATAAATGTTTTTTTTTTCCATTTTGTCGTCTCATGTTTTCATGCAACCCAATTGCCAGGAGAGATTCAAAGATTCAAACAGAACACACAAAACAATCCCATGTGCATCACACAGGCAGGATTCAGCTAGCAGTTGTTGCAGACATTTATTTCGTGGCGTAAATGCACCAGGGAGGTTTCTCTCATGGCACATGTTACTGCGGAGTCCTCGCTGCTTCACATGAGGTTGACATCTCATTAAAATCCAGCAGAGAGGCAATCAATCATCTGAGATCAATATTTGTCTCATTCCAGCGCCTCTCTTTCTTTTGTCACCTCTCGGGTCTTTAATATATGGCAGAACGCGAAGCGTCTCTGGGGAGACGTCTGCGCGGAGAACTAGAAGAGACGGGACCCAACATTAGGCTGATGTGTGCAGTGAACATGAGCTCTACTTCACTCATTGAAGGTTGATTTTATGTTATTGACGAAGGTTCAACAGCACCACCAAGTGGCGTGAAGTGGCAACGACACCAAAACCTTAAAAGTCTGACCCATGTCAGATGAGAGAATATTATCTTTACTCTCTGTTGAGAAAAGATATAGCTGGTGAAGCTAAAGTGTTTACAGTGACATTTTCTTTGTCGTTTTTTTTTTTTTCAACAGCACCATCAGTCAAAAATAAGTTTTTGGCTTATTATTCAACTTGGTTTTTCTAGTTGAAGCTCTTGTAGGCCAGATTTTAGAAATGCACAAACATCTGATCCACCTGAGCTGCTGATCCTCCAGAGTCACCATGGACCTCCTGGCTTTCTCTCCTAATGATGTTGTCCTTATAAAACCCCAAATTTTTTTAAAAAGGCGATTAAATGTCCTGGCTGCAAAGTGACAAACACTAATCATTTCCTGCAGGTCTTTTTATGGAAGAGGGGTTTTCCCAGTAAATTGCTATAATTCGGTTTTATACTAAGTCCTGAAATACACGAGTTCTCGAGGTAACTGCAGGTGCACTTTTGTCGGGTGCAACATTCACAAACGTGAACACTCTTATTGCACAAACTGTTTCTGATTTATGCGCGTCTATTTCTAAAAACCCCTCCGTCTGTTCAGCTCCCAGTGACGTGTGTGTTTCTGGTCCTCAGGTTCCCATCAGCCTGTGCTGCCCAGGAGCGGCTACATGCGCTCTCCCTCGTGGACGCGCTGCAGTAAAGTGGAGCTGCCTCGCGAGAGGAAGCACCACAGTGACTCTGACACCGCGGATCCCTTAATGAAGCTGGAGAGAGCGAAGCGTCCGTAAAGCTCAGCCCGAATCGAGCCTGTCGGACGGACACAGTGGCGAAACCAAGCCACCGAGACGCCTCCATCTGCCACTGTGCGCGCACGTGACGCCCCCGCGGCGCTGGCGCGTTCAGGCTCAACTCTGGAAAACTCGGCCCTCTGCTCTACAGACGATGATGACGTGCAATAATCTCACTGTTCCCGCTCTCTTCTCACACTAACTCAAGCCAACCTGTGCAAGTCATCGTGTTTTTATAGCGGAGGGTTCTTATTGCACTCTGAGCTGCCAGATGATTTCAATATTGTTTTGGTTTGTTGTTTCTTTTTAGATAGACAGGGTATGAGGTCAACAGAGTATCAGCACCTTCGTCCTTACAGAGCATCAGGGTGGGCCAACATTATGAGATTGCCGGCAAAAGTTAAAGCCACGATGATGGCAGATGTTGAGAGGTTAGATGGAACATAAATGAAAACATCCGGGCGCTTATTGAGACTTTCAGGGGTTCCTGCTGCCTGTGAAGTCAGCAAAGGCAGTCCTAATGAGGATATGTGGGGTAAATATCTTCATTATTAAAACAAATGTGTGTTGGGATGCAAAAAGCCTGAATGGAAAAAAAAAAGTTGCACTCCTTTCTCTAAATTGTACGAGCAGCGCCCCCTGCAGGATTGCAGGTGGTGTAGACATGTAAAGTCAAGCAAACGCACCACGCAGCAGCAACTTGCAATAATGTCTCTCATCCTCAGATTTCTCTTTTTTCTTCTTTGCTACCGATTTTTCCAAGGGTTTTTCTAACCCTTGGAAAAATGTGTGCTGCCACAGTCGATGCTGCAGGGATGCGAATGAGCAGAACTTGAAATGGAAATGAATTCAAAGCGAAGGTGGTCATAATTTGTGTGGATGCCAAAAAAAAAAAAAAAACGTAACAAAGTGCCAAAAAGGTGTTTTAATAGTAAGATTAACTCAAGACATTTCTTTACTGTCAGTGAATGGATAGCAGATTGCTTGGTTTGTCACATGTTCAGCCTGCCTATAGGAGGACTGTCAATAACTCTGAATGCTGTGGCACAAATGTGATGCTTGAGGTTGAGGATTCAATAAAATTGTGGCTCCTTTTAAGCTTTGTATCGTCATTTTCATGTCCAGCAAACACCTTTCTTTTTCTGGAAGAGATTTTACAAATGTACGTGAAAATGTATCAAATTAGTAACATTGCAAAGACGAGTGTGTTTAAAGTTATTCTGGTGTCTGCAACAGATTCACCCACAGGATGAATTTTTAAAAAAGGTAAATCGATTTCTATTACAATAACTTTTAAGACTGCTGAGACAGAAGATTTCTCTGCAAAAAACAATCATGGATACGTCATTCATTCTCATTTCTAATTTAAAAAACATTAGAAAAAGTGTCGTATTTATCTAATTTTGAACAAATGTTATAAACCTATTTGTTCTAAAGAAATATAAATATTGAGCTAATGTAATTTACAAACAATATAAAATAATTCAGTGGTTTTGTGTCCATAAATTACAAGAACTTGTCTTGCTCATATTAAACAAATATTTTCATCTATCTGACTTTAAAGTTATGGAAAACATGACAGTCAGGGTATTTTTTAACATCGTGAAAGATAATAAAGTAAATCTTCTAAAATCCTAATTTCCTGGTTTAAAAAAATGAAGTAAATAATATTAATTTGTTTATATTTCATGACGAAGATGAGAAAGTTACAGTAATATCTTCTTTCATATGTCCATAGAGCAAATTTTGCAATGAGTGAAGACTGAATGCACAAAAAGTCTGCACACACTGAATTATGTCAGGCTACAACCAAAAATTCATTTTTATGTTCTTCTGGCACAAAGTAGTGAATTGAAATGATTGAGTTGGGAAGAAAAACAATTTATAGTTTCTAAAAAGGGTGGCATGCATTTGTATTAACTGATAATGATAAATAATCCATTGAAAACAATGGATTATTAATAGTAAAAAGAGACCATATCATTTAATATCTTTAAACTGCAGCTATTTCACGGAGGCTTCAGAGATCATTAACATTCATGGGAAAAAAACAGCATCATAAAGACCAAGAAATAGAGAAGACAGAACTGGGAGAAAGTAGTGGAAAAGGCTGAAGTGTTGTTAGGATATCAAACAGTGTGTTAAGATATAAACATGTCACAGTATGCTGTGAAACCCAGTGTCTGAAAATAAAAAATGTTTTACGCTGCAACCTGTCCAAGAGTTTTCTATGAAGACCAGCAGTGTGGTCTTCATAGAAAAAGTGTCCAAAAAAAGCAATTTTTGAAGGAAACTTAATGAAGTTCAGGGGGCAGCTTCATGCAGAGGACATTATTGAAAACTAATGAAAGTGCAGGACAGCAGCTGCTGTCAGAGTTGATGGGTGATGGATCCAGGGTAATCATGGAAGAAGACCTGCTAGAGGCTGAATGCAATGATTCAGATCAAATGGTTTAGAGCAAAGCAGAGTCAGGAGCTAATCAAAGGGAGATCATTTTCAATTCAGCAATCTATCATAAGACCTGACTATTACTCCTCCACTCTTCCATACACTTTTGCAGAAACTGAAATATTTTGCTAACAAGGCAAATATTTCATGTAGATTTGCTTCTAGAAATTTTTGAGTCATGGTGAAAACATCGGCCCTTCTTGGAGGTTTGTAAAAAAATTTTAAAAACTCCCTTGCTTTGCAGTGGCGTATAACATAAATCCCCATCAAATATGGATGGACAGACGGACAGATGTGGTTGTAATGTGACAAAATGTTAAGTTCAGGGGATACTAATATTTCTTTGTTAATTTACTGCATGTGAAAAGGTGATTTGTTCTGTTTATCATCCTCTCCACACTGTAGACCTTCAGACTGTGGAGTTTCCTCTTCACATTTTGATGCTTCACAAAGCTCCTCGTATGAGCCGTTCTCTTGAAAAGGTCGAGGTCCCAGAAGCTCCACCATGTCCGTTCTGTCCACAATCTCTTTTTCTAGCAGACGCTTCGCCACCTGTAAAAAAAGAAGTGTTCTTTAAAATCGGAGAGTCTGAGGGGCCCACAGCGGGTCGACGAGTCGCACCTTTTCCACCATCTCCTTCTTGTCCACAACAAGCCGATGTGTTCGCTGGAAGGCGGCGTCGACGAGCGAGCGGACCTCCTGATCTATGAGCTGCGCTGCTGACTCACTGTAGGGCTTCTCTGTGACAGCGTTGTGCTGAAGGTGGAGGTCGAAAGAAACATGACCCACAGCCTCGTTCATTCCGAACTGAACGACCTGAAGAAGCAAACAGAAACGTTCGCTTACAGAGTGAAGGTTCGACTAAAAACCCCAACATGCGAGACAAACGTTCATTTTAAATCTCGGCGGCGGTCCTGACGGCTAATTGAGCTGATCACCTGCTCGTACGCCGTCTGTGTGACTTTCCTGAGGTCGTCCCGGGACCCGGTGCTGACCCGTCGAAAAAAAACCTGCTCGGCCACGCGTCCGCCCAACATCATGCACATCCTGTCAAACATCTGGTCCTGGTTCAGCAGATGCAGCTCCTTAGATAAATACTGTGCATAACCCAAACCTCTCCCTCGAGGAGCAATGGAAACCTGATGGTAATGTAAAGTAAAAATCTTCCAAATCAGATAAATAAATATTACTAGGGACCGGGTCCGAGGGAATACCTTAAGCAGTGGTTCTGCATGCTCCAGGAACCATCCTGCTACAGCATGACCAGCCCTGTGATACGCCACGGTTGTCTTTTCCAGAAGCTGTAACGGCTGAGTGTTTTTATTCAGACCTCAGATAAAAGAAGACGCCTTACAGAATCAGTACTTCGCAAAAAAAAAAAAATCCAAAATTGTTGCATGAAAAGCCAAATTTTGTTACATTGTTTAAAAATAGAGCTATCGCCTACATTTATGTATCCATGTCAAAAAGTGGCTTTGTGACACATGGTGTAAGAAAACTTAATGCTGTTAACATCTGGTGGGTGAATCCACACAGAAACCTTCACTATGACAATACATAATCCAGTCATAAAAAATGATGACATTAAATCATTAATTCTTTAAAATATGCTTTCATTTTGTTTTCCTGTTTTTTTACAAAAGAGTTGAACTTTGATAACAAAAATGAACATTGTTGCTTAATAAAATTATCCATGTTGGTTTTTAGCTGACTTACCTGCAATGACTCTCTCCACAGCCTCCTCAAAGTGCTCAGCACTGATGCACTGGCTGACATGACGTGCAGCTCTCAGTGCAGCTTCATTACACACCGTGGCAATTTCAGCCCCTAACACACGGGAGAAACAGCCATAGAGAAACTGACGTGTGACGCTTTAAAGAAAAGCTTCCAAGCTGGAACTAAATAGTTTTGTTCCAGGCTTTGCAGCAAAACGTTCAGCATTTTTGGAAAGTTTAGCCACAGATGCATGAGCCCCACTTCCCATTCTTACCCGTGAAACCTGGAGTCTGTGCAGCTAGCTTCCTGGACAAGGCTTCCAGGTTCAAACAAGGCTCCAACTTCAGAGGTCTCAGGTGCACTTTAAAGATGGATGCTCTGCCTTTTATATCAGGCAAGCCTGCAGTAAAGAGAAAACAAGCCTGGTATGAATTTTACAGTACATTTCTACTGGAATATCAAGTTAATTTGCTGGAGGAGGAAGCTGTCATCTGAATCTCTAAATGATATCAGTTATCTTACGGTTTCAATCAATTATCCTAATTTTTTTTGTCAGCAATAAACCAGATGTCTGACAGCTTGTAACGAGCAAATTAGATTTTAGCTGGAACAAAAACCATCAACCATCTCCATCAAAACATAAAAGCAGCCAGACAAACACAGCATGGCTTAGATGACATTAGAGTGGAGCAGAGATGAGAAAATATGTGCAAATATAATAAACTTCAAAGACTAATTTTGAAGTCTCCAAGCCCGGGTCTGTTGTCGAATTACAGTAACGACAACGACGACACTCATGCGACACGGCATAAAAAACCATCATGTAAACAGGAAAATGTTGCTTAAAGTACAATTGAAATTAAATTGTTCCAAAACACTTACATAAGAGCAGGAAGTTATACAACAAGACAGGGAATAAATGAAAGAGTAACGAGATTCCCCAGAGTCCAGAGAAGAGTCCGTGCTCTACTTCACCCAAATATATGTGTCGATCAAAGCGGCCGGGTCTCATCAGAGCCGGATCCAGGATATCAGCTCGATTAGTGCCGGCTAGCACGACAATGTTGGTGCTGCTGTTGAATCCTACAGTCAGACAAACAGGACGGGGGTTTTCAAAGTGTTGCATAAGGAATTGGAAAAATAAATGTGCTTAAATGCTCACCGTCCAATTCCACGAGCAACTGGTTCAGAGTGTTTTCCTGCTCGCTCTGCCAGCCAAAGCTCCCGCTGCCTCTCTTCCTGCCGACCGCATCGATCTCGTCGATAAAAACAATGCAGGGGGCCACCTTGCGAGCCATGGCAAACACGTCTCTTATCTGACAAAAGAGCAGATCATGAGCGATTCGTAACACGGACAGATAATTTTTTAAGCAATTTGTGAGAATGGAGGACTGACCCTTGCGGGGCCCACCCCAGCGAAAACCTCCTGAAACTCGGAGCCATTGACTGTGATGAAGGGGACGGTGGCCTCCCCTGCTGTGGCCTTCGCCAGCAACGTCTTCCCAGTTCCAGGGGACCCGGATAACAGCGCACCCTGAAAAGACAAAAATGTGATTGTGACAGAAGAAATCTGAGATGCAATCAAATATGAAAACACACACGGACTTACCTTTGGGATCTTGGCTCCCAACTCCCGGTACTGATTTGGATTTTTCAGAAAATTTACAAACTCCAAGATCTCTAGTTTGGCCTCTTCACAGCCTGCCACATCCTTAAAGCAAACACTTCCAAAGTCTTTAATTATCTTTGCTTTAGATGCTTTCATGCTGAATGGATTTCCTTTCAAACTGCCGCCATGTGATCCGGCTATTGGCCCCTGTCGCATTGCAAATAGTAAGAAGCCGGCCAGGAGGAACGTAGGGAGAACACTTAAAACCATCGTCCTGAGGATGAATGAAAAGGAAATTGATGGCAGGACAGGAGCAGGAGAAGAAAATCTGATTTGCATGTTGCTTCAGCCTGAGGAAAGACTCTGACCCGTCACTTTCGCTGGTGTAGAGGACCGGTACTTTCTGTGTGGAGTCCAGGCCCATTTCCTCCTGCACCATCTCCAACTTGTGTTCAAATGAGGCCACGCTGCCAATGTTAAACCACAAATAATCCTGAAACACAAAATCAAAACAAGACGTAAGAAGTCTTTTCAGAACACGGCACTGCGTTATCTTACTAACCACGTCTTTTGAGTTCACCCCATCGGCCGGAAACACTTTGACATACTGCTTATTGACCACCGCTACATGACCAACCTGAGAGAACAAAATGATCTGTTTACACTATTGATGAGAGGACATTAGCTGAGAAAGACTCCGGGAGCGACACTGATCTAAACTCACCAAGCCTTTGCTCAGATACAGCACAAAATCCTTCCAGGAGATCTGGACTTTGGTTTCCCTGAAGTGGAAGTACAGAAAGGCTGCGGTCATGCCCGCAGCACCGAGAGCAAAGTTCTGCACGGTCCTTTCATCGAAGGAAAAATCTTTCTGGAGGACGAGGAAACGTTGAAATGAGAACAGATGAATCAGCTTCTGACCACTGATACATGAAGTTTTAATATTAAACCAAATGAAGGAAAGGGAAAGCTTTCCACCACATAGCCTTGGGTTAAGTAGGTGAAATAATGATAATAACAATATCATGTTACTACAGACTAAGGGTTTTGTCATTTCTGAAAAATGTTATTAAACTGAATAATTATGGTGAAAAGTGAACCATATAAATATATTAATTCTACATTTTCTATGCAATGTAAAAAAAAAAAAAAAACGTCTAACTTGAACAGTAAAATTCTGGCAACAACAGCTGCTGGAATTTTACTGTAAATTAAACACTTATTTTTTTAGAGTGTACCAATTTATTTTGCACTTTCACTTTGAGCATTAAATATTAAAAATTCCTCCGTATCCATACGAGCAGTAAATCACCTTTTCAACTTAAAAGCTTAATCTCTGTTTTTACTTGCATCCACAAACAGATTCTAATCTTTAGCTGAACAAAACATGTCACTGTTATAAGAAAACAATTTCAAATATTGCTTTATAACAAATAAATTGCATTACTATAAAACATCGTCACCTTGGCAGCTTTTTAAATTATTATTTTGTCATTTGAAGATGAACAAAAAAGACATTCCTGTGCCTTTCTTATCCAATTTTTCTTTTCTAGTGATGTGTTTTACTATCACATACAACTTTATTTTACAAAACAAGATAAATGAGTCTTGTTTTGGCCTCTTCACAGCCTGTATGGATGAGTGTTTGAAAAATGTGCAGAACATTTTAACAACATAACTAACGTAGACACTTAGATCTTCACCCTGAATTGTTTCCACCACTGAGATCTCTCTTTTTCTCCTCCATCATTTTCTTCACATCTTTTGGTTTGAAGTGAGTCTTGCTCTTTATTTCTTTTATCTAAATAACAAAAGCAGATATAAATTGCAGAAAAGCAAACCACATAGCAATTTAAGAAACTGAACGAGGACGTTTTTATTGTCCTTTACTTTCTGCTGATGTTCGTCTGCCAGTTCCTTCCTTACTCTTCGGGAACAATTTCTCAAAACCTGAAAGGACAAAGAAAATTAGGAAATCAGATGGCTGGCACTGACCGAAAATATTTGGGTCACTGCGCCTGGTCAGTTGGATCCATTGTATTGTGTGTCGGAGTAAGAAGGCTGGCCGAGTGCTTCACGTACCTTTCAGAGGCCTGTTTGAGCCGAGAAGCCGTGCAAAACTGTGTCGCTGCAGCTCTCCACATCTTCTCTGAATGAGCAACGCCATCTGCAGTTACAGATATTTCATAGGAAATGAACATCACCAAGGTAATAGCAGAAAAGGTCCACTAAAAGCCCTATAATTTGTGGCAAGCGAGGAGTTGTTAGAAACAAAATGCACCAACTGTTCTCCTCCAAACTTAAAGGATTATTGAAATCTTATTAGTTAAGTCCTTGTTGAACTAAACTGTGGGACATTTCACCTCCTTTTATGAGGTAACAATGGCCTTGCTAGTATCTTAAAGACAATAATATTGTTTTGGTAAATCTAACATAAAATATTGACTCTTACTTTGTGCAAAAGCACAAAAGGAAAAAACTTTTCCCACTGAACTGCTAAAAAAGAGACTTCCTTCTCATCCATCATGTTAATCAAAGTACTGCAAAAAGAACATCATGGAACTGAGGAAGCTGTCTCATAAACTACATAATCAAAAGAACCGGGCCTCTGTGTCCCGGGAGAATACAAACAGCCGAGGAATGATGCAGAAGCAGAGCCACTGTTGTTTGTTTGTTTGAGGCTTTGAGGGGCAGCTGTCAGCAGAGATGCGAAGGTTTTTCTCACGACACATATGTCGCTATGTGGCTCATAGGAACTCACGCATCTTACAGAAAATGCATTTTTCTATATACAAAAACAAACAAAAATACTTTGCAAAGTCACTCATTGTTATACGTGCATACATTTTTACTTAATAAAAACATTTCTTCTTACCGAAGCCCCTTTGGAGCGCAAAGTTGCTGCAAGTGTAAACAAGTTTTGTCTCCACGTCCGAACCGTCCGGGCTCGGTTCCGAAAAGACCACATGCTGAGGACGAAGATTTCCGTCAGACGGAGTCATGAGGAGCCTGGGTCCATCTTATGTCTTCTCCCATCCGCCCACAGACGCACATCGGATGAGCCGCGAGGAAGCTGCGCTTTGGAAACATTGGAGAGGCGCTGCGCTGCTGCGCACCTAGGAACAAGTTCAGACCGAAGATCTCGCGAGATGAAAGTTAATTGCAGACGCAATTAAAGAGGAATGTAAATAAATATCATCTCGAACATTATGTCGGTTCATTGCGATTATTTATCTACTTTTCTATTCTACGGCTTTGTTTCAAGATAGTACCGGGGTCAGTTCATCTGCGAAATAAACAAATCTGTACTTTCAGAAACAGATGTCTGTCAGCACTCTGGCTCTGCAGTTAATATTCGTCCAAGGGGACATCCTTCATCCGCAGCCCTCTTCATGTGACCTCACAGCATCTCGTTATGTAATCCGACTGAGCCAACGCAAAAAACTTCAATACGGACGCACGCTTGAATGTGCTGAAAAACTAAATCGCTTTTCATCGTCAGCTGTCTGAGACTTTTGAAGGTGTTAAGTCGAAATTGATGGATATTTGAAACTGTTCCGTGTTTCAGCTGTCTTGACAAAATCTTTAGAAACGTGAAACGGAACCACGTGGCTACAGAGCTCTATTGGTGATGTGCAATCTGAAAAAAACAAAAACAACTTCTCATCTCATTTTTTTTTTTTACCACATTTGTGCGTCATGTAATGGACAAATTAGATGGCATTTTCTTTTTGACAGGAAAAGATTATGTTGAAATATTGAAGAAACATCTCAAAACATTAGCCAGGAAGTTGATTTATTTCATGCACTGATCAGTTGTTTCACAACAAGGCATTGTTTTCACCAACAGCATGTCTGGTCATCAAGTTAAAAAAACAAAAAAACAATATATTTACAGTACTTCAGGCTGCTGAAAAAATAACACAGCCAAAACATTGATATTTTAAAACAAATACTTTTCAAATGGTCACTTCAACAAAACTCATCATGTCTACACAAAACTTGTTCTCAATAGCATAAGACTGAAACCATCAACACAATGACATTAAGATGTGTGGATAGCAGCCGAACATCCAACCCTTTAGCTACATCCTGAATGTATGGATGAGTTCACGAATTTAAATAACAGAGAAGCACAATTAACTCCTTTAGTCCTGCAGAGGCATGCTTCGGTTAACCTGTTGGTGCAGATTCAGAGTACTGTTATAATCACTGCTTTTTTTTTTAATCTAATCAAATAAATTTTAAGTATATTCCACTACTAACTGACTGACAGAAATATGAGAATGAATGCAAACTGAATGATGCAAATAAATATTGCTGTTTGCCCTGTAGTTGTGTTCATATAAATACTTAATAAACTATTCAAAACTGATTATTAGGGTTTTATTTGAAAAAGAAAACACTCTGAAAGAGCCTGCAGAATCAGAACAGAATTAAAATCTGTATCTTTCTACTTAGCTTGCCACAATAATCGATATTTAGCACGATTTTAGTTTTATATGAAAAATCACAAAACAAGAAGACGAGTATTATATTTATGATGGCTAACATTTTTCCATCTTGTAACTGAAAACGGGGAATTTTGACTTAATACATCAAAGCATTGTATTAAAGGACATACGTTTATCTGCAAGAAGAGAAACACATAGTTTCTTCTGGCTTCATCTTGGACTGATGTCAAGAAATTGTTCTAAAGGGAACTGAAATGTAAACTTACACCAGGAGCCATGTTCACAAATATTACAACAGGAACACTGGATCACCTCAGACGCACAACAGTGTTCAGAACAACAGGTTCTAAATGTTTTAGTTCCCCGTTTCACTTTGTAGTGCACAGAAGAGAGAAAGACAAAAAACAAGTCAAACATAATACCAAGATGGGAAGCTAGTTTGGCCCGACTAAGAGTAATCAACATGTTATGAAAAACATCTTGCTCATTTCTCTTCTTCCCCCTCATCCTGTTGGCGGTCTGTCATTCGAGCACATCGTGGACAGGTGGTAGAGTTGTCATAGTAGCAGTCTCTACACACATACACAATAGATGCAAGATATAGACAAGTTCAACAGATGTTTTCTTAACTCGAAGAATGATTCAGCAACCGCAAATAATACAGATACTTGATTTGTTTATTTCTTTAAACTCGTAAAAATGATGAGAGGCTGAGTTGAGTTTGCTTCTCTGGCCTACATGTGTTTTGTGTATCTGCTTGAGGCTTACGACTGTTTCCCATGAGGCCTTTTGTGGGGCTCTGCAGGACGACGGGTCTCTGCGTGGCTATTAGTGACCATCTGATCCCTCTATGGTCAAAGCAACAGCTGTGTCTGTATTGTCTGTATGAATTTGAGCTTATTCCCAGTGCCATGACTAAATGAAAAAGATCCTGAATAAAAATTGTAAAAACTATCTTCTTCCTACATGGGTAGAGTTTCGATTCATGGCCTAAGCCAAATCCAACCCGAAATTCAGGCCAGATCAGGTCAGATTTATTGGCTTACTATTGCAAAACGAGATGCTTCAGTTTAATTCAGGTTAAAAGGTTGGCGGCTCCTCACCTGTGGAAGACGGCAGAACACTCGTGGCACACTGAGGTGTGACTGTCAAACGGAAACAAGATGTCTCCCTCCTTACAAAGCTCACAGACAAAGCCTTTGACCTGACAACGCTAGACACACACCAGACACACAAGAACAACACAGGAGCAGAACAAGACTGGTATCAAGTTTAGATACTTAATGAACGATACTTTTAACTGTTTCCTGTAGCTAATGTGCGAATAGGAAGCTTTATAACTTTTGGTGGGCTGGGCTCACCTCGCAGTCCAGCTTGATGTGCTTGGCAAATGTCGTGTGGATCTCAGTGAGGGAGCAGCTCAGCCTCCCAGTGGAGATGTCGATCAAATCCTGTAGTGAGTACATGTCGTCGTTTTCAACAAAGTGCTGGCGATCCTGCAGCTGTGGAGCCAAAACGCAAAGGAGACATGAAGCAAAACCAGAGCAGTGTAGCCTAGAACCTGTGCGGGCAACTCTCAACTTTGAAAACAACGGGTGAATTAAAAATTAGGAAACAGATCATTAAAATAGTCACTTCTATGTTTAACATAATAGTAGCCCAATAATAATGTGTTCATGGACATTACAGAGTAGAATGTTTTAAAACTATGATATTTATATAAACAAAGCAAATACTAACCATAAAATAATAATAATAATAAAAATCCAAAGAGGATTGTTGAAATTAAAATGCTTAACATTTGAGAAATTATATGAAACACTACCGCCTAGATACTTTTACTAGGTGCACAATTTTGGTTTCACTCTGTTTTACCGATTAAAAATACTGCTGCTAAGTCATTTTGATGTTTGTTAGCTTGATAACTCAAATAGTTACTGACCTGCAGCAGCAGCCGAGCCTCCATCGCCTCCTTGCAGGTAATGAAATATGGTTTCATCAAGAGGATATCATGACGAAGCTTCTGTGAATCCAAAACAGACACATACAAAAATAAATGTTGTTGCTGGGACTCCCAGCATGAGATTGCCGCCCTCAATTAAAAATCAGGGTTTTTTTTCTCATTATAATTATTAGCAGCTGTAAAAACAAAAACAAAAAATGATGACGAATCAAAACTAAAATATTAGTGAGACAAAAATCTTTAACAGAAGCCATTTTGTTACATATCAAACGTTTTTTAGTGTTAAGAACAGCTCTCTCTGTTTTACTTAAATATCAAATATCCATCCACTCATGCATTTTCTTACACCCTTGTCCCTAGTCCCCATCTCCAGCAAACGTTTTTGTAAAAGTGAAAATTAGATGTTTACTTTGTGGCACTTGGTTACCAGAAAACAAACTCATCCCTTAGCAACAGATTGACAACAAATATTGTTATTGTTCAAAAAACTTCTGCTCTATTGAAATACTATTTAGCACTACTATTTAACAAAACCAGTGCAGTTGGTAAATTTTTCAAAAAAGTGAAAATGTTCAATTTTTCTGTCATTGGTGTTGAATATGTTATAAACAGATATTACTAGGAAAAAAAGAAACAAATTAGCACCAAATTAATTGTTGTTTATAGACCATAATCTCTTTTGAAATACTCCATATCTGCTTAGACACAAGAAATTTACGGCTGGTAAATTCAGCTAAAGTATAACTCAGATGTTTATTGTGAGGCACTTTGTTACCAGAAAACCTGCTCATCTCTTAGCAACAGATTGACAACAAATATTGTTATTGTTCAAAATACATAATATTTCTTCTGTTCTATTGAAATACTATTCATTTACTTACTAAACAAGACTTGTGCAGTTGGTGAATTTTTAAGAAAAGTGAAAATGTTTCTTTTTTTTTTTTTGTCATTGGTGTTGAATATGTTATAAGACAGATATTCAATGCAAATGTAAAAATCTGATTTATTCTTCGTGGGAGTTTGTCACCAGAAAAAAAATGCTCATCCCTTTACAACAAATTAATAAAAAGAAAAATGATTGTTTATAAAACATAAGCTCTTTTGAAATAGTGCTCACCTGCTAAGAAAGAAGAAAATTACAATTTACTTTGTGGCATTTGGTTACCAGCAATTACACTCATCTCTATCAAATGTTTTTATTATTCAAAAAACATAAGATTTCTTCTGTTCTTTTGAAATACTGAACAGAAGAATTCACCAGAATTCAGCTGGTGAATTTTTATAGGAAAATGTTTAATTTTTTTGTCATTGGTGGTGAATATATTATAAAACAGATATTCAATGCAAATATAAAAATCTGATTTATACTTCGTGGCAGTTCGTTACTAGTCAAATAAAACAAATTAGCACCAAATTAATTATTGTTTATAGACCATAATCTCTTTTGAAATACTCCTTACCTGCTTAGACACAAGAAATTGACAGCTGGTAAATTTTGCAAAAGTGAAAATATGATGTTTACTTTGTGGCATTCGGTTACCAGAAAACGTGCTCATCTCCTAGCAAGATTAACAACAAAGATTGTTATTGTTCAAAAAACATATTTCTTCTGTTACACTACTTAAAAAGAATTGTGCAGGAGGTGAATTTTTAAGAAAAGTGAAAATGTTTCATTTTTTGTGT